AGTCATCCAAGTCACAGCCTCTTAACTTGTTCACCAGTATGGGGTGGGATACCGTATCGAAGGCCTTCCTGAAGTCTAAGTATACGACATGCACCCCTCCTCCTGTGTCCAGGCGTTTCGTAACCTGGTCATAAAAAGAGACTAGATTGGTCAGGCACGATCTGCCTGCCACGAACCCGTGCTGGTTTCCCCTCAGCATAACTTGTCCTGCCGGGCTCTCACAAATGTGAGCCTTGATAATTTTTTCAAAGACTTTGCCTAGGATGGAGGTGAGACTGAGTGGCCTATAGTTGCCCGGGTCCTCCTACCTCCCCTTTTTGAAAATGGGGACCACGTTGGCCCTTTTCCAGTCCTCCGGGACTTGGCCCGTGCGCCACGAGCTTTCAAATATTCCCGCCAGTGGGTGTGCAATGATGTCGGCCAGTGCCTTCAGCACCCTCGGATGGAGCTCATCCGGGCCTGCCGACTTAAAGGCATCCTTGTAAAATGCTCTTAAACAGTTCTCAATTATTTTTGCATTAAGATGGGCAAAAAGAAAAAAAAGACAAGAACACCAAAGCCAGTTGAACATTCAGGCACAGTTAAGCTTGCTGATATTTCATCAGGATGCTGGGGTTAAAACGCAAGTCTTACAAAAGCTGCCGTTCAGTTTTTGTTGCACAGAAACTGCCTGGTCTTCCATTTTTCATCGCTGCTGCAAGTTAGCAATGACTCCAGCTTCATAGTGCCTCTTGGCCTTGTACTGCGGCATGTGGTTTGGAGGGAAATAGCGCTCTTATTGAAGAAGCACTGACACTTCCTGCGGCATCTTGAAGCATCCCCATCAGGTAACCAAAGGTGCCAAGGCCAGCAGCAGTGAAGGGATGGATGATTCCCTGCAAGATGAAGCACTGGTGGCCCCTACCAAGAAAAGCAAATTTAGGGCTGGATTCTGCTCTGCTTGGGTGCAACTAAGGGTTTGTAACATTTGCCTCCATGAGTATCCGACTGCAGTTTGCTCGCTGATGCTGCACCACCAAGATGGGCTCTGCATCTAATATCACTGTATTATTTTCTAATCATCCCCGACAAGTCGCAAAGAATATGAGAGGTCTGGTATTTCTGCCAGTTGCAAATGAGATGCAGGAGCTCTCTCTCTAAGCTGGGATGGTTTATCCTTAATTGGAATTTGTATGTACTGTATTTATCTCTCCCCAAATCTATAAATAAGGCGGGTGCTTTGGCAATTACTGATGTCTGCTGTCATTTTCCAAGGCTGGGGTTTTGATGAAGCGCATGGTGTTATCGGCTACTATTTCTCATTTCTATCATTCTCTAATTCTGCTTCCACGTGAAAATATAGCTACAGTTTTATGTGCAATGATTCCCTGTCCCTCCTCCCCACCCCACAAGAAATAAAGGCTGAGGGAGGGAAAGATCAAACAGTTTGGTTCTCCTGAGCATGCAAGTTGGGAGGAGGGGGCCTCCATGCAAACATTTTCTGGAGGGATCCCAAATAGAAGGAGGACTGAGCCCTGAACAGGCACCCTGGAAAGAAAAATTGTTCTTTGCAAGCTTTTGGGCACAAACACCTTTCTTCGGACATGGGGAGAGTCTGCCGGTGTTCATTTTTCCAACCATTTAGTTGGCCTAATCAAAAAGATCACATTGACCCAAAGAACCATGTCCGCCTATGTCCTTAGACCAACACCGCGACATCCTACACCCTCAGTTCAGGAAAGTGCTTAGACAGTTGGTTAAACTCATTGTTTAACATGGGAAG